CCAAAGTTCAGGGTGTCATCTGAGCAACCAATGTTGACGCCGTCTCCCCTTAGACGACGACCAATGTTTCCAGTAGATGCCAAACACAAAGCAGATGAACTGGCTCAGGAGCATGATCACGATGACAGCGATATCTTCTTACAATCTCCATTCAAATCGCCCCCTCTAGTGCACCGTCTATGCCCCATCTCACATCCTAAACCAATCAAACCAATCATGTTAGATGATGATGAAGCGACCCTGTTTCTATCCTCTTCATCCGCTGTACCTTCCCCTTTCTTTCATCATACGTCCACTCAGCCACTGCTTACGCCAGTCAAGGATTCCCACCGCGCCATACTAGCCGCAAAGCAGCTCAATTCGCAGCCTGCACATCGTGTGGGCGTAGGCACTAAACGCAAATCGGCGCAATCCGGCGGTGGCGACTTCTCTACGCCTTTGCGTCCTGTCCCATCAACCACGTGCACACCTCTTAATATCTCTGCTCCGAAACCCGACCCTTCATCTGGTATCGCTTTCCACCGTCTTGCGCCTCTGCCAGCACCTCGTTTTACCCCCCAGCCAAAGAGCAAAGCTGACACTGACGCATTTGTTAAGAAACAGGCAGAAACAATGAAGCGGCTGCGCATTCGGGATCCTGATGACTCAGATGAGGGCTGGGGTATCATAGAAGATCTCGACTCCGACGGAGAACCTGTACAAAGGCTACCTGCACTCCGCAGATGCAAATCCCGGTCTATTAGCCCGAAGAAGTCCCTCCTTATCAATGCTGCACTTGTGCCACAGAAAGGTAGCGCGAAGGATGAGGTCACTGAAGCTATCTCTCCAGGAGGGCATATTATCAAGCGTCGGGCACGTTCGAGGCCCGTTTCCATTGAACTCCTTGAGAGTGTGAACCACACACCGTCACCCAAGGTTAGAAGCCACATTGGTAAAATACATTTTTTCCATTGTGCTGACGAAACTTTACTCTAGGCTGAGGCTTCCAATACGAAGTCACCCCTTGTCCCAGTAACATTTCCTTCTGTATCTCGCGATCGCAATCGGCCTACTTCCATTATTGGCTCGCCTTCTCCTGTACCACGAAGAAGACTCACAGGGTCCAGTGGCCCCAATCCTTTCCTCTCTAACCCACCTTCCCGTCCAAGTTTGCATTCTCAGCCTCGCCCCCGTCCCTTCGCCCGAATGGCATCCAATAGTTCGGCCACTCTTTTCTTTGGTCCCTCAATCCCTCAATCCGCGCAGTGCCCACGCACGCGGACTAATTCCTCCGTCGCCACTACCCTGGATCTGTCCGTGCAGTCCCGTCTCAGCCCGCCCAATCGACATAGCTATGCAGGTCCAGACTCGGCTGGTTTCTCCGCTGCCCCAATGTCATGGACGCTGCGGTCGGGTTTGGACACACCCTCACCAAACTCTTCGCCTCTGAATGACGGTCCAGGCACAGTCTACTCGGATGACGAGGACATGTTATTCGGCCCAACCGAATCCTCATTCGTGTTTAGCATCACAGAGGGAACGCCTCCTCCACGATCACAGAAAGGCAAGGAGGGACTGCTACCCTCCAAGTATAAGCCACGCGACTCTGGCATCGTTCTTAGCGACGACGAGTCGATCCCCGCGCGAAATTCGGCGTTAAGCACGAGTTCGAGCTCTATTTACTCTGATAATGACAACGTCGATGACCTGGTTACGCCTGGGATCATGCCTGGTGCACTTTCCGGTTGGCCAAGGATCTCGGGTATCGACGACGCGCAGCTTCATTCATTCAATCAATCCCATCCATATCAATATTTTAATCATGACGAGGACGACGTTGACGCATTCATCTTACGCACGCTAGAGGCAGGTGGGAAGCCTTCTGCAGCCGAGGGCAAGAAACCTCCTGGAACGCCTGTGAAGAAGCTCAAGAGCCACTTTGGGCTCGATGGTGGGCGTCCATGGCAGAGTGCTGTTGCATCGAAGGTTGGGTTTTCATTTGATGGTGCAGAGGGGTGCAAAGGGAATGGGAAGAAGCCACGGAAGAGTTTGCCTGCTGCGTTCCCTATCCCGCTTGGGAAAGGTAGCGCTGTGACGATCAGGACTGGTGGATCAGATACTGAAGAGGACGAGGAAACTATAAGTCCCAGTTCGAGGAAGCAGTACAAGGGTCTCGGGCTTGGCCGTCCTGCTGGGAGGTGGCTCATGCGCCGCAGCAGCAGCGGAGCATTTTCGAGTGGGGAGAGTGCGGGCGGCACGCCCACCCGGCGAAACATTAATCTTAAAGGTAGTTCGGCTCCGCGTTCATTTATGATCAGTCGTCTCATTGTATTTCGTGGTTTAGACTGGCCGATACCCGCAGCGCGTACTTTGACCGTGGATACCACGGGCTCACGGTCGAGCTCGAATAGCTCCGCGATCTCATTGAATTCCCCTACGATCGCGCGGCATCTGCCCTCGAAAACATCTGCTACTCATTCGCATTCTCCGCTTGGACCGCGGTCACGAAAAATGACCGCTATCGAGCACGTGAGGAACGTCTCAGACGCTGGCCGTTTCGAGAAGGAGTTTGTTGAAGTCGAGCAGGTTGGGAGCGGGGAGTTTGGAAAGGTCATTAAAGTGCGCGCTAAGATTGGGCGCGAGCTTGAGGACACGGTTTGGGCTGTCAAACGATCAAAGCCATTTGAAGGTCCTCGGCATCGGTGGGTTGTTCTGTCATTCGCACATCCGTCTTTATTTGACATATGGTGACAGCCTGCGACTACGAGAGGAAGTGGATATATTGGCCCATCTATCGGCGCGGGGTGCTCATCCGAACGTACTGACGTACGTGGATAGTTGGGAGCAAAATGACGCGCTTTTTATACGCACAGAACTCTGTGAGCTTGGCAATTTTGCCAGATTTTTGTGGGAGTACGGACGGGCCTTTCCGCGCCTGGATGAGGCGCGGGTGTGGAAGATTATGGTGGATTTGAGTAACGTGAGTGCTGCGGGTCAACGGAAAAAAAAACTTTTTTGGTCCCTTCTTTTTCTTTCATTATACAAGCATATTTTCACCTTCGTCCAATCATCTGATCTGAGAAGATGTTGTGTGTGTGGTCTATTCTTCACCCTCGTTTCCGTCTTGACATGTCTTTTCTTGGATATTAACCTCGTGCCTGCAGGGTCTGCGTTTCATCCATGAAGCAGGGATCATCCATCTAGACCTGAAGCCGGCGAATATCTTCCTTACTCGTGAAGGCCGATTCAAGATCGGAGATTTTGGAATGGCCTCGGTGTGGCCCCGACCTGGGGGCGCGTTCGAGCGCGAGGGGGACAAGGTGTACCTCGCGCGGGAAGTTCTACAGGGCACGTACGGCAAGGCTGCCGATATTTTCAGGTATGTTGAGCCGTGGATATGGACGTGAGCATAGAATGGACCCTGATGTTTTAATGATCCTGCAGTCTTGGGATGACGATGCTAGAAACGGCCACAAATATTGTTGTGCCTGATCAGTAAGTTGACATGTGATTTTCTTTTTAGAAGGTAGTGATGGTTTGTTTGCAGGGGGGATGGGTGGCACAGGCTACGACAGGAAGATTTCAGCCAGATGGATCTGGATGGAAGTCCTGAGCTGTTTGCGTTGATTAGGAGCATGATGCGGACTGATCCTGCTAGGCGCGTGGATGTGCAGGCTGTTTGCGCACATGCTGTTGTAAGCCGAGCTCGCGCGGCTATGGAACGCACGTACGAGGAAGCCAAACGGAATGGTACCTCGCTGTTTGCTGCGTCTCCGCTTGCAGGTGTTTCCAATACGTTCTTGGAAGAGATCCTTTACCGTGACTGCGACGATATGGACCTGAGCCTATGAACTCACGACGACGGACACCTGATACCCGGTTGGAAGAAGAAAACTCTCAAAATGTGAATTCTTTTTGGTTGTATGTTTCTTGGGACTGTATAACATATTACCTCGCGATCTTGCTCAAGGACGCCACTCATCGAGCACCCTTACACTCACCACACGATATCTATGACCACCTCACGTCCTCCATCCATCCATCCATATATTGATATACCTACCACGCACATGATCTTGTCTGACTACATTCTAGGCCTCGATTGTGAATTGGTACTAAGGGATTTGTTATGCATAGCGATAAACGGTAACCCATACATAGTTCGTAATATTAAAAATTTATGCGCAATATGATAGTCTAGTCCACCGAAGTAGATCTGCTACCGAGCCGACGGGGATCAGTCGGATAGAGGGGTGCATTAAATAGATGGTTTGATTTAAGAAGCAGGACCCTAGCCATCGAGGGAGAGGGTTCTTGTGCCCATCCGCGGAAAGAGAAGTTAAATCTTTGAGATGCATGTTGATAGAAGGAAGTGTGGCGATGTCCCGAGTATGCTATGGTGACTCTAGGCCTGTCTGTAGCCTACTGGTTGGGAGATTAGCAGTTCTGCGTGTTGCATCATGTTGCCATTGATGAGAATCTAGAGTTTCAAGTTAGGACTCGAGGGGTTCATAAATTCACGATTCGACTCTTCTTTCTTGACCATTCCACATTATATAAAAACCCGCAGTTCGTTCGTTCGTCGTTCTTTCCCTTCGTTCATCGTCGTCCTTGTCATTGTCCCTGAAGTAACCCTGGACTGACAGTTTATTTTGACAGTGACCCCAGACTCATCGACCTAGCAACGTTCCACAGCCACGAACTGCAACTTTTTTTTATTTTCTTTACAAGGCAAAAGGCAAGTCCGTGTTACTCCTCGAGCGGCCTACTTACCAGTTCATTCATTTTCAAAAATCATTAGAACAACTGTTTAAAAGCTTTATGGGACATTCAAGTTCACGTTTCAATTCGATAAAAGTTTGTTTGTGTCAAGGAAGATCGTAAACTCTATAATATGGACCCTGGCCTTATTGCCAAGCCTCCACTCTCGTTTCTCTCCCTCCCACACCAATCCTCTTTCCGCGTTATATCGCGTCGATCTCTTTCCTACTCCTTCTCACAGTTACTTCCTTCCAACCCAAATGGACCAAAGTCCAAGGTATACCTCTGGAACTACCTGTATCCCCTCATTGTTCCCTCCAGGCGTAGACCCAAATACCGTCGACTTCAGAACTTTCTTTCCTTACATTCCAAACGAGGTCAAGCATAGAAAGCGCACCTCTCGTACACAGCTCAAGGTCCTAGAAGATATATTTCGTAAAGATACAAAACCAAATGCCGCCCTCCGTAAAAAGTTAGCAGCAGAACTGGATATGCTTCCACGTGCAGTACAGGTGTGTTCTATCCTCTTTGACGTCAATTCGTCGCGTTCTCATTTCTTAATCTCGCGTGCCACCAAAAGGTGTGGGTTTCAGAATAGGTATATCACGCCCTCATCTTGTTTGGAATTCAACTCATTTATTCTCTCTTAGACGTGCAAAAGACAAGGCGCTTCGTAAAAGAGTTCAGGACTCGACTCAGCAGGATTCTCCTTCTGCTCTCTCTCCTCAAAAGTCTCAGTCTTCCAGGGACACCTCTCCCATCGACTCTTCCAATTCTTCCACCCCCACGGAAAAACCCACGCACCCTGCAGAAGATGATCTACCACCCTCACCAGAGCCACACCCAGTGGAGCGATCACCCATAGCTGAAAGTCCTCTTACGAAGTTTTCCTTTGCTCTTCCTGCGCCCCCCGCACAAGCTTGGCATAGTAACCCGGTCGCCCCTGCCGAAATCCCCCCTCATGTTCGCCCTGCACCAGCAGACTTGACTTGGCAGGACAACGACCTTCTAAACGCACGTAGAGGGTCCCTGCCAATCACCATGTCCATGCCAAGCACAGATGCCAACCAGCCGTCTACCCATTTCCCAGATAGACGCAAGTCTATGGACGTTAGTCTCCTTAGGCTTATGCATCATCCGTTCGCACGCGTTGCAAAGGAGAAAAATGACGCAATATTTCTCAGGCCGCCCATATCTCCTGCAGGGTCAAGTCAGTCCATGGCCCGTCCACCGTCCGGCCTCGGTGGGCCAAGCATACGTGCGACAAGTTACAGCTCTTCTGCTTCCTACAGCCCTTACCCTCGCCCTTCTTTGGCACATAGAGCGTCAGAGCCCCACGTCTTTACGCCTTCTCGCTCTTCCCTTGTACCGGAGATTCGTCCACCGTTTCCGTCCTCGCACGTGCCGCGCCGGCTCTCGGACAACCGCTTTACAATGAGCTCTAGAGCGCTCCCGTCGCCTATTCCTGGACCTCTTCCAAAGCCTGATTTCCAGTTTGGCGCTCCGACATCTGCATCACCTCCGCATGTCTCACCGGATGCCGAATCCCCTGGGAACATGCACGCATGGGCGTTTTCCCCGCAACGAGGCAGATCAAGACACGGAGGACTCGTACAGTTCCACTGGATTATCTAGATTTGGCTCGATTGCTAGCGTCTGTGGGAGCGACACCAGTGCGACCAGCGCGATTTATTCAGACGTCAGCAGCTGTGTGGGCGTCGATCATTTCGATCCGAGTGGCAGGAGAGGGTCTTGGTACGCTGCGCTTTCATGATCAATATATTCATTCCTTGATGTTTTTTTACGTTACAGTGCATCCAACCTCGAGACGCGCATGTCCGGTCTGAACATGCGGTCCAGCCAGGGATCGCTCAACGAGGCTCACTTAAATGCCGCGTCTTCATTTGCCTACCAACACAGGGAGCACCTGTTATCACAGGAACCAGGGTACTCTTCCCCTGCTTCTACCGTTTCGCCCGGTGGAAGTCCGCACCCTGGATATGGCAAGGACCCTGGCCCATCGGGTCTGCGAACGAGCGAGGCTTCGTTTGGATATAATCCTGTAATTAGTCGTTTTACCTTGAATGTTTCTGACGAGATGCTCACGTGTTCCTGCGCAGCTCCCACCTGAAACTAGCGCCAACACCTATCTAGGTCCCACGGAGCCTGCCATAGCCAGCCGCAAGCCCAGTATACCCACTATCCAAGAAGGAATGCCGCACAATCATGTTCAGAACAACATCGAGCACAACTCCTCATATCCAACGCCCGTAGACGCGACATCCCCATCTAACGCATACCATTTCGCCCCAGAATCCAACCAATACTCTCACACAGGAAACTATCCGCCATTCCCGCGGGACAGCACATTTCCTCACACGGAGACCTCATACGCCCAACCTGGGTTGCAGTACCCAGCAGAGGGCAGTTATTCGTTGAGCTCTGCTCCGTCTGCTAATATTGGAATCAGCGGTGGTATGAACTCGTATGTGTCGCCTCCTGCTGAATATGCCTTTGCTGTGCCTCCCGCGAATAGCGTGGGGCATGGTGGGGAACGATTCAGTACATATAGCTGAGGCGGCCGTCGAGTTTCCTGGCCCGTCTTCTTCTCATGTCATTCTCATCGTCCGTCCGTCCGTTTGGAATTCGCATGTACCATAATTTACTATCGTCTTTGCTCGCTGCTGTTATTCCGTGGTCGCTGCAAACTAATCTGGCTGTGGTCTCATGGGCTTTTTTCGAACCTGTCGTTTCGTCTTGCTTTATGTCCATCGCTTTATGTACTTTGACTTTTTTTTCAATGCCCATACTGATATACTCAGCACTTGCACTGCCAGCACGTTCTTTTCGTTCCGTTGTCCACCACCCTGTCGCTCGTTCGTTAGCTACTCCCTCCTGCTCATCGTTATCTGGTCATGCCCGTTGTTTGCTGTTGTCTCTAGTCCATCATAGTCCATGTCTCACCTCGCCTCTATTTCTTTAGTTCCTTATCTCCATCTCCATTTTTTTGCTCATCCAACATCATCTTTATCCCATCATATTTTTGTCTCGTGCGATTTTCTGGTTCTACTTAAATTAATGTACTTAGTTTAATGCTTTGTTTGGTGAATTCAATTGCAGCCGTTTTGGCAAAATGTCTTGGGGGATCGACAGGGCCGCGTCGTGTATAGGGTGATGGCCGTCGTGGCTAGTTCTAAGATCGCGATTACGGAGAAGTTGGAGCGTAGACTGGTCGAGACTTGAATTCGACTCTCGAGCCTGTACCCCAATCTTAGAGAAATACCGATATTTGGTTAAAGCAGCAACCTATCGGACGAAGCTCGTAGATATGGATAATCATAATCCATCACAGTAAGATAACAAGGGATTAAACGACCATAAACTGCAGGACCTGGTCAGAGCTTCGTCCCAGGCGTTCCAGGGAACGTAGGTGCCATCATTGATATCGGAGGGTGAAAAATAGTCTGATTGCCGGGTAGGCTTAAAGGCGGTTCTCCACCTCTCCCTGTCACCTGTGCATTCCTGTCCATCATCAAACGGTGAAGCTATGCCCAAAAAACCATCAGAACAATGCCACATGATGCAGATTGAAATAGAGATAGAAGGAGGCGATAAGATAACAAGATTGCAAGCGTAACGTACTTGCAGTCGTATGCCGTGAACGGCGTATTTGAGGGAGCCGAGTTCTTCATTCAGACGCATGCTCTCATTTGTAAGCGCGATGTCATTTCGACGCGCTAGGGAATCAACGGATGCGGATACTGCGGCTATGGACTCGCGTAAGCCACTTAGCGAGCCCTCGAGGGAGGTACTGAGATTAAGAGGCGCGACGGGCGTTAATGGCAGTGTGCGTTGAGACAAGTGTGGATCTACGATCCCGTTGAACGATCGACGTGATCGGGGATAAGTATGGGATTCTTGGAATGCGTGCTCGTGTGGGAGTGGGAAGTAGGGTGCGAGTGCGTCGATTTCGTTATGAGACGTCAGTTCTCCGTGATCTGCGGAGGAAGACGGTTGGGTTTGATTGATAGTGGTTCTGGAGGAGGAAGGAGAAGGACCGGGCGGTGCCGAGAAGAGGTGATCGAAGGCGTTGATGGATGGGGAAACGATTAGTGGGGTTTGGTCTTGGGTGTGTAACCGGTACCATGGACCGAGCACGTTCCTGAAGGTTTGGATGTCTCTTCGCATTGTCTGGACCACGGATTCGAGTGTGTAAACTTTTTGTCTGAGAGCGGCGTTTTCCGTGTTTAGTGATGATAGTTGAGCGTTGTTGATGGAGAAAAATCCTTTGATGGCTTCGTATGGGCAAGAGAGAACGTGTTCGTCAGAGAACTGACGCCGGGGACCAGTCCAGGAACAGCCATTGTTAGCCTGCGTGCATGGAATTTCATAGTCGAGACAGATAGTAGCGTGCGCTTGTGACTGTGACCTCGGGAACTCTTCGAAGCAGAAACTACACGTTGCAGACTTGGAAGGACACTCCGAATTGTGAGTCTATCCACGCTTGCGTGAGTAGATTCAGAATGAATTGTCATAGACACGCACACTAAGATCGCTATACTTGATAGTCGCACCACACCCGTCGCACTGCGTCGAGCGGTAGACACAAGCATCTTTATGCTTACCAACATCTTTCCGAAGGATGAGCTTGTCGCATTGCTCTTCCGAACACGGGATCTCAACGTATTGGCACGTGTCCTTGACGTGGGCGGATAGTAATTGTCTTTGGAATGTCTGCGTGCATCCAGATACTCGGTTGGGGCATTCGATGATGAGTTCATCCACGAGCTGAGGCTTGTATGTCAGCAATTTTTCCTGCACTGTGTTACATATCTCACTCACATGTTTCACGATTGGATTCGCTGGCAATAGATCGTCAAGTGAAAGCGAGGAGCGGTCGATGGGACATTGTGGGGAGTGTTGTACGGCTACTGCGATACAGTCATGGCAGAATGTGTGCAAGCATGTCCGGGCGGTCGTAGGATTTGTGAATGGGGCACTACATGATGCTGTGTTACAACTTACAAGAAGCTTAATTAGACGTGGCGAGCTTACTGGCAGATGCAGCAGATCTATACAGAAACTATTAGAGAAAATTTATATAAGGTAGGCTGACGCACCAGATTACTATTTGGCTGCTCTACGTAGTCCATGAGAGAAATCGGATCGATTAATGACTTGGACTCGGGAGTCACTGCAGCCTGCAGGGGAGTACTATGTTTGGCTTTGTTAGGAATGGAAGCTGTTGCCAAATAATAAACAATCACATCCTATCACCACCTTTGAGCACCCACACTTGTCTGTAGCGCCCACGCAGTGCCAAGAGGAGTGCAGGTTTTTGGTGCCACTCCGATAGAAGTTGACCATAGGAGCCGTGACGCACTAGGGCAGATGGCTGCTTGGAATAGTCTTCATGTTGTTTAAACGTGCGTTCAACCCTCAAGTCTGTCCACAAATACATCTCTATTTGACCTCTGGATCCGGAGACTCCAACGATTGAATGGCGGTTCTCTCTTGCTTCGCGGTGATAAGCGATAGCCCATGTTGGCTAACATTATTTGTGTCAACATGCACAGCAACCTACAGCAACCTTGCGTCCTTGAAGCGGATGAGCGCCCATTACTAATCCTTCAACCGCATTTCCCCACCACCCAGCAAGCTTTTCATAGTCCCGAGGCCGATATCTATCTCACAATCCTACTTTGCGCGTCACTCGACCTTTTTCACAACTTATTTGAGACACGCCCACACGATACCTAACCGCACTCTCGATCCCAGCTAGCATTTGGTGCCATTCCATTACACAGCCGTTATTGTCAGTATTTCCATCCTGACCCTGTTTATTGCCATCCCGATTTCCCACAACTTTCGAGGGATCAAGTCACGCGGGCGGACATTTCATTAGGGCGTCTGCGATGATGAAGTTTACTATCGACGATGGAGGCAATAATCCTCATGATTGGCTGCAGTTTATGCTCGAGCTGACGAGCGAGCTGCTGCCAGGAACGACCTGAACATCGGAATAAGGTCGACCGCAACCACAGGATACGAGTTAACGCCGTCCAGTAACAATGTGTCATTTCGTATGCTACGTCAACGTTCTTATCACGTTCGCTAACCTACTATAAAGTTATGAGTCCCTCCATACGAGCAGCTCGGTTCTTACCCCAGACTGAGATATATATGTATTTGCTAGCTTGCTGATCATTGGACGAGCTGCTACCAGGAACGGAGGTCTACAAGTTATACTCTGGAGAGACGTACTACTCACATGTTTGGCTTTGTCATCCGAGATCAACTCGTCCACAGTTCCCGCAACGTACGGAAAGCACCGGAAGGTGCCGGTGAGACCCAGTAATGTCTTGGATGATCTTAATGTAATTGTAGGAGTCAGGAGTCGCTGCAGATCTGGGGGGCTGGTGAATACTCGGAAGACCTATGTCTGGCGGCCTGGCCCGAGGCAAGACTCGTACTCGTTTGGATCCACGCTCGTTAATAGCTGGCTACCGACTCCCTTTTGTGCCTTTTGTCCTAGTCGCGGCGGACGCGCATCCCTGGTTCCGACGTAATTCAGTCTTCCATTTGTTCAATAGATACTTCGGTGACCCTGCAGTACTTATTGAAATTGAAGTACACACATGGTTATCGTTATCTAGCTACTAGTTCTGAAAATCGTTGTTAGTACTATAAGTTAATGATAGTGAACCCAGTACTCAACACTCTATGCTTGCAACACTAGCACCTTTTCGCAGCGTAGAGTCTCACAATACGGTCCAAATACGGTCACAATTATAATCTACAGAAATCCAGGGGATCATACAACAGCGCACATTCTCTCTCGATTTCTAGTTCACCCCTGAGCAGTGATTGTGTCTGCTGCAGTACTGTGGCCGCACAGCCTGAACAGCCTCGTGTCCTCAGGCTCCTGTAAGCACTGGATGGCAAGCGCCTACTCGTCCTTCAACTGCACTCCACAACAACCTAGCGAGCTTTGCGTAGCAGAATAGATTGAAACATACATCTCATCTTCATCACACTTCGCACTCTCCATAAATCGACAGCTGGATCGTTCCGCTACCCAAGTCTTGTCACAACTTACAAGCTTTGACTCAAATCTTCGTACGTCATCCCTCCAGATAACTATCGCCAAGATTTTTTCCAACCACACCCTCGAACCCAGGTGGTACTTTCAGTTGGTTCATTGCATCTCGTATCTTGTAACCTTCGTCAATGGATCAAGGTCAGTGCTTCTATCTCTTATCTCTCGCAAGCTCTCTGACTTCTTTGACAGTTCTTGAAGGAATTTGGGCGAAGCTGTCCGAGGTCGCTGTCAAGGGTGCCCAACACAACTCCCGTGAACGTCAGCCCCACCCGAAATGTTTGCAAGGGACCCGGGTTGATCTCCTCAAATATATCCACGAAATACTGGATGACCCAGGGAAGAATCAACTCATTTGGCTGCATGGCACGGCTGGTGTCGGAAAGTCTGCCGTTGCGTTTACAGTAGCTGACAAGATGAAAGATCTAAAAGTGACCAAAGACACGAAAGTCGAAATGCGGCTAGCAGGAACATTCTTTTTCTCGCGCAAGCATACCAAACGCTGCACGGCTGGATATTTCTTTTCGACGCTTGTCTACCAGCTTGTCGCCAATTTTCCAAGCATCCGGAAAGATGCGTGCAGAATTATCCACGACAATCCCGCTCTACTAGATCCAGATGCGCCTCTCTGCGACCAGATGAAGACTTTCTTTCTTCGACCTCTCCAGATACTCCAATCCAGATTGTGCGGGTGTCCACCCTTGTCGTTTGTCATCGATGCCCTTGATGAATGCACATCGGAACCCGAAGTTAAAGATCTCATCCTTTTCCTTGCACGGGCTCTTCGTGAGCCTGATTTACCCGTGACCCACATTCTTCTCACAAGTCGCTCGGAAACGTATCTTAGCAGAGTCTTTCAGAACGACGAGGTGCGCCCATTGGTGCGCGAGATACCCGTGAGAAGTTCTGGGGAGGGTGGTATCATTTCGTTGGACGGCGCAGACGTTGACAACGATATCTGCACTTTCTTACGGCATTCCTTCAAAGAACTGGAAAGTCGCCATCCCGATTTTCCCCAGCCATCGGAAGTTGACCTTGCGAAGCTGGCAAGCCGAGCTGGCAGACGTTTCATCGTGGCGTCTACGATGATGAAATTTATTATCGACGATGAAGACAGTGATCCCCATGATCGGTTACAGCTGATGCTCGAGCTGACAAGCGAGCTGCTACCAGGAACGGAAGTGTACAAGTTATACGATCGTATCCTCTCCACGTGTGCCGACCCCAAGCGGGCATACTTGCACTTGTCCATCGTCGCCGCCCTCGCAGACCCTCTTCCCATCTCGTTAATCTCGACACTTCTTGGCCCTGGTTTGGGAAGGGATGTGCAGACAACGCTGATACAGCTACGGTCTGTCATGGATATTCCTACCGACACCAGTCTCCCCGTGAATATCTCTCACTCATCCGTTCGTGACTACGTTTCCGACCCCTCAAAAACTGCAGCCTTCCATACGCACACGATCTGTCCATAGCCCACTCCCTCCTTGCTGATTCCTCTTTTCGCTTGATGATGAAAGAGATTCCAGAAAGCACGGCCCTATTGGATGCGCTCTCAGAACTGAAAAAGCCGAGCCGAGCCATGCAACCTGAGGACCCAAAAAAATTAAAAGATTCATTAAGGTTCCTCGTTCAGCCACTGGAGCCATTGTCGGTCCTTATCAGTATACTATGGCTTCGGGGAGATCGCACTTCAGATTTACAATTTGGCTGGGGACTGAGGACGGGAGTGCCTGGCTGCAGACATACGCAGGGGATGACTGGCTGTGCTCCGAGGGAGGAGAAAAGTGGCTGGAGAACCAGGGAGGACAAGACTGGCTGGAGACCGAGGCAGAATTAGACTTCGAGGAAAGCTTGAGGCTGGAATGGCAAAGCGATTTAGAGTCGTCATACTCGTCAGAGACCCAAGAAGTGCCAGATGACCAGCCGCAGACCCAGGAAGAACTGTGGACTCACGCATGGCAAAAGTGGCTGCTGACCCAAGAGGGGCTGGCGTCGGTCCGGGACACTGACATATGGGGGTGGTTCCGGACAGCACAGGCCATGAATTCACAAGACTGGCTGCGGACCCAGGGGGGACTATACTGGCTGCAGACCCAGGGAGGACTAGACTGGCTGCAGACCAAGGCAGGACAAGACTGGCTGCAGACCCAGGGAGCACGAGACTGGCTGCAGACCCAGGGAGGACGAGGCTGGCTTAGAACCGAGGGAGGATTAGGCTGGCTTAAGACCGAGAGAGGACGAGGCTGGCTTAAAACCGACGGAGGACTAGGCTGGCTTAAGACCAAGAGAGGACGAGGCTGGCTGCAGACCCAGGCAGGACAAGGCCGGCTGCTGATCCAGGGAGCCTGGCTGCGGATCCCGGGAGGGCTAAGCTGGCTGCAGACCGAGCAAGGACAAGGCTGGCTGCAGACCCAGCGACCACGATACTGGCTGCAGACTCGGGAAGGACAAGGCTGGCTGCGGACCCGGGGAGGACAAGACTGGCTGCAGACCTGGGGAGGACAGGACTGGCTGCAGACCCGGGGAGGACGGGATTGGCTCCAGACCCAGAGAGTACGAGACTGGCTGCAGACCCATGGAGGACAGACCTGGTTGCAGACATGGGGAGCGTTGGCTGGCTGCAGACCCAGGGAGGACAAGACTGGCTACAGACCCAGGCAGCACAAGACTGGCTGCAGATAAAGGGAGGACGAAGCTGGCTGCAGACCCAGGGAGCACGAGACTGGTCGCAGACGTCTCACGGCCTAGCGTGGCAATCCACTGCCGCAGCATCTTTCTGGGTAACTATGGAAGAATTCTCGAGTGCACTGGAAGCAATCAACGGGTATACTATCGTTCCAGAATTACCTTTACCGCTATCCTTCCAAGTTATCCAGCAGTTCAAAACCTTGCCGGATTTCTTAATGTTCCCGGCGTTCCTGGCGTTAAGCCACCAGCATCATTCCGCCTCTGCATTGTCAACATATCGTCCGCCAAACGGGGAGATCATCTATGCTATGAGCGCCTTCACGACTTTCACACACAAAGCGCAGCAAAGAAGTCGATTGTCTTCCGACGCTCTCAAGTACGCCTGTCGAAACTGGACTATCCATCTCTCGCGTGCTCCAAATCCACGGGATGACACGCTCAACCGTAAATTCCATGCTTTCTGGAATCGTCACCTCCTTTCCTGGCTCGAATGGCAGTGGTGTTTGAAGGGTCTACGGTCTTGTCTTGATATTTTGTCCGAAGGGCAGAAACTTGCAAAGGTATGCATTTTTCTAATATTTTTCAATTCACCAAATGTCCGACAAACTAATATCACCTTGTTCCAGGTTCGGTTTTTCTTTTCCATTGTATGAAACCCGTTTGTAATTCTATCTCATCCTCAGTTGTAACCCGTCAACGTGCAACCCGAAAGGCGGCAACGGAAGCTTCGGCACCCGTGTCCATCTATCAAGAGTGCTCCCCAGCTTTTTGAGTCGTGACACGTTCTAAATACCTGTTTACTTGTTTCATGATAGCATGACTGTACTTGGTTTGATAACTGTGTAAAGAAGTATCTTCGTATTTGCTTTGTTATGTTCTGCACCAATCCACAGTACACTTACAGTTTTATATCAGCAGAACAACCTTCGCATATTCCAAGTTCTCTCGACACCCGGTACCAGCAGGACTTACGACTTGCCCATCTTGTAATATTTGGTATTTCATTTAGTAGCTTAGTAAAGCACTACGTCACTAGTCCATCCACAATATATAATCTTATGATGACTTGGAGCGCGGCGTCCACCCGCGTGCGTCTCACGTGCGCTTACTTGACCAATTTCTACTACCACTACCATTCAGAAACCTTACTAACGTTACCATCATTAGCTTCGCTCCATCACTTACAACATTGCCGAGTCCTCGTGCTCACGAAATTTACTTCATTTGGTTGCGAGCACATCATCAATTCCTTATAAGCTGACCCTTTCATCTGCGTCATCTTGCTGTTTGAACACCGCAGCTCCAAAACATGTCGACGTCATTTACGCACAACGAAAAATATAAATTCTGAGTCGTTCTTCATCAGTTTGCCCACGCATCATTTGTGTTTTACGACTTGATCTATTATGCCCGGTTCATCCATGAATCCGTCTTGATGATATTTCACACAGTCGTATACTACAGTGCTGACACTGTAAAAGAAGATGATCAGCTCATAGCAGATCACCCTGAAGCGACACCTGATTTTCTCGCAATTCTCTCACAAAATGGAATTCCAAAGCACGAACTTTATCTCAAGCAGGGCTGTATTTGCTCACTTAGGCGCAATATGTCTGTTCAGAAGGAACTGGTGAAGAATGCACGCCTCATCATACAACAATTGCACCGCCGTTATGTCAAGGTTCGAGTCATCAACAACAGGACAGGTCAACTTGGAGATACTCAATACATCCCCCGCATCTACTTCGAATTCACACCCCCACGCGTAAGTTAGACTGTTCATCGTCTACAATTTCCCCTCCGTCTTGCATATGCAACGACTTTCAATGGTTGCCAAGGTCTAACCCTTGACAAGACCGTTCTCAACCTTCGCTGCGAAGTCTTCGCACACGGTCAACTGTACACAGCCCTTTCACGGATCCGTCAACGAGACGATTCACGCATCCTATTTTCAGAAGACAAACCAAATGACGATTTCAATACGTCCAACGTCGTGTATAAAGAATTGTTATTAGATTTGAACTAGATCCATCCAACGAGCCGCGCAGCGGCAAGCACTTGTACTGTATAAAAGCAGTGAAACTAAATTTTGCCCTGGCCTCCGCGTCTACTACAATCGATAGCCATGGACAAGTGAATGATCATCGATGATCCAAGACAGCCCCTGATGCAATCTGAAACTCGTCAGTCCCACTGCTTATCATCTTGCCGCCCTTCTTCGACAGCCGACCCTGCGCATGGTCAATATTTTGCATCCGCTGCTCTGCGTCCCCGACATCGTGTTGCTTTGTAGGTTTAATATGCCATACACGTGGCAAATATTTGTGCACGTATGGAAAGTCTATCCATGGCCACCTCGCAGTACTGATTGCTCGATCCACGATCAACAACCTCAGTAGGTTTCCAACTGGTTACTGAATCAGGAAACTTGTCCCATCATCCTATAATATGCACAGTTGCCGTTTCCTGATTCCTCTTAACTTCAAGTAGATGATGGCCTCTTCCCGTCATCGCCTGCCTCTGCGATGTTTTTTTCTCAAGCTCTTGATTTTTTAGAGCCCAGCACCCCTTGCTCTACCTTACATAACACGAGGGACTACTGGTTTTGATTCCATCCCTTTCCATGTCACGCCCAGCGGACTCGTGTTGGTTGTTTTCTTCTTCCCCGTAGCCCTCGACGCAGTCGTCCCAGAGACTTATTCCGATACGCCATCCCGTACTTTACATCCCTCTGGTTGTTGATCGCCTTCCCCTGACGAGCCACTTCTTATCTCTCCTGAATCCCGCTCAAAACATCCATTGACCACAATAATCCCAATAACTCGAGACCTCTCACTCCCAGTTGTACAATCGCAGGGTCGATTGCTACTCTCGCCTCCACCACCTGTTATGCCGTCACTACCTCTCGTTATCCCCGAGGAACCAGACTCGTTAATGAGGATTTATCCACCATCTTTGTAGTCCCATTCCTTGCCATCCTAATCTGACTCCCAATATGAATGAAACCAGCCCACAGACGCGTCAAGCACATAGGTGCATTCTTAGCCGTGCAGACCCATCCGTGAAAGATATTTCGTCGAGCTTCCATATGTGCGGCGTTGATGCGTAGGAAGGATGGAGTCTTTGTTGCGGTTTCACCCTTGGCATGCGTTCAGGTGCGATACTTTTGATTCGTGTCTCTTATGTTTCTGATTTTGCGGTAAGCTTTGGCAGGGGAGTAGAACAAGGATATTTGAAAGTATTGTTTGATGCACGAGTCGTCTGCCCTATCAGGATCTCCGTGACTAAGATGTTGTGTTGGCGTGGAGGATGCTAAGGTGAACCTTGCATTGCTTGTGGGATTGGGGTGATGTGGCTGTTGTTGGTGGTTTTGGATTCGGGTGGCGATGGTGAGGAGATTCCGAGCTTGTACAACCACTTGGTTGCATCTGATGCACACGCAGATCTCGGAAGTCTGTAGTGATATTACAGTAAGCTATATGCAGGTTTTTGGACAAATTATATGTTGATGTACTGGAGTAGCTGTTCGACACGGGAAACACCAATATTCATCCGGTCAACCACCTATCACAGGTGGATACAAATCGGAAGCTGTGAAGACAAAAGTCGGGCTCATGTACACAGTGCAGAGGCGCTGGGAGGATATATTGTTGAGGAAGGCAGGTATGATAATAAGGACATTCTTGCGTTGACGGTGTGGAGGAGACAGGCGGCCCCGTGTCCTGGGCGTCTATGGATACACAAGGCAGATCAACGCAGCACATGTGTCTGCAGTATATCTCGCCATCCGATGCAGATGATTCGAAAATCCGTTTGGATTGAACTCGAATTTAAACGCCCCGCTTCGTCTACTTCCCACCTCTACGGGTCTCTTCTACAACCGAGCAGCACAGATATACACCGTCAAAATGAGCCAAGAGTACAAGGACTCCTTTCTTTCATTCACAACGAAGCATTCGGATCGCCGCACTCAGCTTGGAATGGAGCGCACCAAAGACGTGGTGGCGACGTATTTGCGCTGTGTCCTGTTATCACACATGTGGAGGCGCTACTAGACTGCACGACGTCCAGGACAGTCGCGTACGAATTAGATGAACTTGGTACCATCGTGAAGTTGCAGTCATTCTGCAAAATCGCTCGTGATCTCGGGCATGGGTGGATACATGCTACATTGACAGGTCACCGGAGTATGTTTGAGGAAGGAGCGAATCTGACTCAGTCCTCATGATACCCAATGTCATCTGGAACAACAGACCATTTGTGCGCATGTTTGTATTTTATTAGCCAGTGCGACATATACATATTTGTGATGTTACACCATAATCAAACAAAGCTGCCCCCATCAGTCGCAGGACAACTACAAAACTAACCATGCCCGTCTACAGAGGGATCTCAGTCCACCTCTCATCTGCGTGCGCCTGTTTCGCTTTTCCGGTTGGAAGCTCAGTGGGCATGTTCCTTGACTCCACGTCTTGTGGGTATTGGAAGGTGAAATGTGAACTTGCCGCTTGGGCGTTTGGATACGGAGGCGAGACTTTGGGAATACCAGAGCGTCTATCGATGTACGTGATTACGAAACCAATGATAGCTAAATGAAAGTGAGCGACTGGCGTGGAACAACATGATTCCCCGAACATACCAAGGATAACGGACGTATAGTAGCAACCGATGAGGACATTAGCCACTGTGCATCCACCAGATTGAGACAAGTCTTGACAAAGGGCTGTCGCGTTATTCTGATGCGCACGGAATGGCAGAGTGATACAAGATGCTGATGATACGTCAGAACAGCAGGTACGAGCAGTATAGTCAGGTGACGTACGGAGATCTAAAAGGCACAAAGCGCTAAAGGCAATGAGGTATCTAGTGTTACTAACCTCTGCTTCTGCTTGCCTCTTGTAACAGAGGCTATTGAGCCGTTAGCTTTTTTCGCACCTAGAGCGCGCGGTGATGAACTCACGTAACCGGGAAAACCAGCAGAGCAAAAACGCTTGACACAGCAGCAAGGACCACGAAGGCTGAAGTAAACTGGTGTGCATGAGGGTTAAAGCTAGATTTAAAACACTTACCTCCTACGGTATGCGCATTAATTACCAGCCTTAAAATCACAATTGATTCGATGTTGCAGATATAAATACTGACTTAAAAACAAGTGAGCAAATGTCTTGTATGAGAAGAATGGCATGACGAGCGTACGGAGTAAGAGCCCACGGGAAACAGCCAATAGGGAGGGCATGGTGTCACGGATAACTAATGTAGATGGAGCGATGCAATGTGATGAACAGGATCGAGCCTGTTGAGGAGCGTTGTGTGATGGTGCATCTCCCATATGCTGAGCTTTTATATCAACCCAGTCTGTCACGAGTGGACTGTGGCCTTTGCGTTTGACAAAAGATAAAAGCGGCTTGTGGCAAGGATTTCATATCACCACTGTTCTCAGGGGTGGGGTCAATTGAACAATAACTTTGCTTCAAATTTTTGTGGAACAGCCTGCGGTGCGTGGACCACCTTACAAGCTTGGTTGATAACGCTCGAAGAAGACTACATGAGTTTAATCACATACGGTGAAACACATACACGTGTTTAAACGTTTAAAAGGGTGCTTTCGTGGACTCAGAAACGTCACGAAAAGGCCAATGCATCCCGGATATCGAACGAACCTGATCAGGCTCTCCTGCGCACATAGTTAGGAAAGAATTCGGAATCCATTTAAGTTGACAGCACTTGTACCATTTGTCCAGATTGTTGGCCATAATATATCGTGACCACTGTTCCGGCATTACTTACCGTGAAACTTCTTGTACTTCCCGCGTCCCAAACTGCTACCAGTTCTGTTGAACGGCGAACTTTCAAGGCCAATCGTATCCCACATCACATTACATTGTTAGTAAATCCCAATCAAACCTGATCTCCATGAGCCTGCCAGCGTTGTTTGTGATCATGGATATCCTTGCGTTCAACCATCAAAGACACGATATCGCATTCCCTCGATGTAACCATCGACCCGGCGGAGTCACGGCAGTGATGCCTGTTTAACCGGTAACGATGGCGGGGCAGAAGCCGCGGTGGATTCGTGAATGAGAAACAGATTATTAGGGTGGTAAGGAATCGCGGGTTAATAAGTAAGCTACCATCCCCGAGGGCGTCTTTGAAATGGCCGGTCTGGGTACAAGTCTGAGGAGACTTCAGGTCTGCGGTCTTGCGGTACATGTGGCGAAGCTCTGACGGTATTTGCCAGTGAGGACACCGGTGCCCCCAGAGCATGGCTGACCCGCCTCTCCCGCCTGTCAGTGCTGTCACATCCCGCCTCCACCCGCCGCCAGGTGCTGGCCCAAAGCCGGAGAGGGAGGACAAATTTAGGTCGTACGGCCACAAGTGAGGGATCAGTACTAGTAAGTATACCTTAGTTCGACTTAGAATTAGTTACACATCAATGTTCTTCACCGCAATGTTATGTAAGATATCAAATCAATATGTCGGAAGGTGCCTTGCAAGGCTTCCAAATTGAGACGTGATTTAGCCGCAATGCAAGATTCTTCCAAGCAAGCGTGACCTATTCTTACCTTACTTACCTGACGTGCATATGTGATGTCAATAATATAAATATTGTTGGTTATCTGATATCATTTGGGTTATCTCTCATCCTCCCTGTGATACACACGCTCGTTTCCCTGATATCAATGTTAATGCGACGTGCGTTGCCTGTGGTATTTCTCATTCTCCCTGTGATACCTGCCTGCCGCACACGCTCGTTTCCCTCATATCAGTTGTGATATCTCTCGTCCTCCCTGTGATACCTGCCTGCCTGCCACACACGCTCGTTACCATGGCCAAAGGGTGCGCTACATCTTTCTGTGCCATCAGATCTGCGTGCCCACACCATATGGCGCCAAAATGTTACGTTATACCCACTTTGGAGATTGTGCGCATGTGCAATCCATTCTCAGAATCAATTCACATTGATCATCAGAACGTGAAAAGATTGTTCTGACTCGCCGTTTAGATCATTCACGCTATGCCTTTCGTGGTGCTGTCCCAGGAACTGGTCATGCCACTCTGTCATGTGGCTACTCATATATCCAGAATATCTGTGCTTCGTGTCCCGATTTATGCAATGGCACCATCGAGCATATGTAGACAGTTACATAAAGCCTACCGTATCAAACCACTCTTCCTTGTTCCCACACAATGACTCCAGCCGTCAGGAATCCTCAAGCCTACCTGTCAGAGAAAGAACAGGATGCGTATGTTCCTGATGGCACTACGCCCAATCTCGAGACATACATGCACTATGCCAAGATTCAACGTGACAGGGAGGCCCTCTCTGCCAAGAATGATGTTGAAGGTAGCCGCTCGGGTGGCCTGATGAGAATATTCAATCGCTCCCAGGAATCTGACAGGCGTTCTGTTGCGTCTGATGGGAAGAATGTCGCTCATTCCTCAGAGGAGGGGAGCGGCGCTCTAGTCACCGCAGGCGAGTACCGTGCAGCTTCTGGGGCTCTTAGGACGGCCACGTGGGGAAGCATGTTCTATCTTATAACCACCGGTAAGCTGATTGACACATTTTACGGTTTTGATGGGTTCCACGACATCCTTCCCAAGACATTTTGGGTCCTTACTCTACCCCGTGGGCATTCCAACAAGTTGGATATGGTCCTGGTGTAGCCTGTTTCTTCGTCTTCGGCATTTTGGCTGCATACGGTGGCTTTCTCCTATGGTGGATGTTCTTGAAACTGGACTCGGAAAGGTATCCCGTCAGGTCTTTCGGAGACTTAGGACAACGCATCTATGGCCGTTGGTTCAAGTATCGTACGTAAACACACTCATAAATGTAGAGAATCGATTGATCAGGTGGATCTACAGTCTGCAACATCTTGCAAAGTTTGCAGCTCGTGTTCAATGTCGCGATCATTATTCTTCAAAATGGCCAAGGTCTTTCGCAGATGGCAAAGTTCAAGGTGCCCTTGTCGTGATTTGGCGTATGTTGTCATATAACCTACCTCTCGATAGCTTATGCTTCAGCGTTGTAACGTTGTCTGGACCCTGGCTGGAATGGTACTCGGTCAAATTCGGACTCTTCAGAAGTTTGGCAAGGTCGCCAATCTCTCTATCTGGCTAAACATCATTGTATTGATTATGACGATGGCCTTTGTGGCTAACTCGCCACCTAACTATACTGCGTCACCGTCTGGACAAGACACAGGCCCCGTGGTGACTCTGGCAATCAACCTACAGCCTTTCCAGGACCAGCTCGATGGTATCATGCAGATTGTGTTCTCATTCGGTGGATCGTAAGTCATCATAACTCATAAAGACATTCATGTGCAAATGAACAAATTATTTTAGCATGATTTTTGTCGAGTTCATGGCTGAAATGCGGCGCCCAATGGATTTCTGGAAGGCTATGGCGTATGCCCAGATCTTTATCTTCATCGTATACATGTTCTTTGGCCTCTTCGTCTACACATACCAAGGCCAATATGTTATCAATGTCCGTCAATTCTCTCTTGACTTGGAATCCTATTGACGATGCTGTTGCAGCCGGCCAACCAGGGAATTTCCGCTTACGGTCTACAGACTGCAACGAACGCCATTTCTTTGACCGCTGGTATCATTGCTGCTGCAATGCTTGGCAACATTGGTATCAAAGTCATCTACAACAACGTTTTCGTGGAGATGTTTGGTTTCCCCCAGTTGACTGTGACTTTGGGTAAATACTACTTCGCCATCTCTGTCATAGTGTATTGGTCCATTGCCTTCGTTATTGGATCCTCCATCCCGCTATTCAGCGACCTCTCGTCGCTGGTTGCTGCCGTTTGCATCTTCCGTGAGTATTCATATCTTTCTAGTTGCTATTCTCACGACTTAATCTCCTTTCAGAGTTTACATACACCTTCCCACCATTCATGATCTTGGGTTACTGCATGCAACTGGATGCTACAAAAGGCGACGGAGAGTTTGACATCAACAACCCCCACGCCCACCGTGTTGATACATGGAGGGATTTATCGCGTTGGAAACGTGCATGTACGTACCAACTTCTGCTCAGAGTTCCCTCACGCCAAATTCAACCCTGTCACCAGTTTTCACCAAGAATACGTTCTTCCACCTGTGGAATTTCCTTCTCACACTCGCATGCTTGTCTTGCGCTATTCTGAGCGCGTACTCGGCCCGTCATTTCGATCGTGTCTTCGTTCGATACCTCGCATTCTGCGACGTCGTTTAGCTGTAAGTCGCCATTGGACAACAGTTAAGACCTCAAGTGGTTAAGACATCATAGTATGAATTCGAATGTGTGTTATTAAAAGTTGTAGGATGTCATAGATAAACTCAACTTGGGTATGATAGTACAGTGACTCCCAATCTGAATGAAACCAATCTACACCTATCCTTTTTAAGGTCAATTCGTCGCGTCCTCACTTCTCAATTTCACGGAACGATACCAGCGCGACCAGCGCGATTTATTCAGACGTCGGCAACTGTGTTGGCATCGATCATTTCGATCTGAATGGCAGGAGACGCTCTTGGTACACTGCGCCTTTATGATCAATATATTTGTTCCTTGATTTTTTTTTACGTTACAGTAAATCCAACCTCAAGACGCGCATGTCCGGTCGTCCAGCCAGGGATCGCTCAACGAGGCTCACTTCAATGACGCCCCTTTGTTTGCCTACCAATACAGGGAACATTCGTTATCACAGGAACCAGGGTACTCTTCGCCCAACGGAAGTCCGCATCCTGGATATGGCAAGGACTTTGGCCCTTCAGGTCTGCGAACGAGCAAGGCTTCGTTTGAATACAATCCTGTAATCAATAATTTTACCTCGAATGTTTCTGACGAGATGCTAACGTGTTTCCGCGCAGCCCCCACCAGAAACTAGCGCCAACACTTATCTAGGTCCGACAGAGCCTGTCATAGCAGGACACAAGCCCAATATACCCACCATCCAAGAAGGAGTGCCGCACAATCATGTCCAGAACGACATCGAGCACAACTCTTCATACGCATACCCAATGCCCGTAGACACGACGTCCCCCGTCCAACGCATACCATTTCGCTCCAGAATCCAACCAATACTCCCACACAGGGAACTATCCGCCATTTCTGCGGACAACAGGCACTACATCATCCTGAATCTGATTCATGATACTGTGTTACAAGAATCTTAATCAGAAGTAGCGAGCTTACTGGCAGATGCAGTGGATTCATACGGAAATTATTAGAGTGAATTATATAAGGTATGTTGACGCACCAGATTGCTATTTAGCTGCTCTATGTAGTCCATGAGAGAAAAAGCCAGGCTGGTCGCGAGCCTACATCCGTTTCCCAATGCAGCTCCAAAATAGGGTGTCGCATCACAATTGGGCCCTCTTTCAAACCAACAACAAACTCGGAGTCGAACAGATGCTCTCAAGAATTTCAAAGCCTCAATGAAGCTGTGCGTAACATACAGGTGTGTCTGAGTGTTATTTGACATCTATCTACAATACTCTTGCTCAGCTGGGTGAAGTCGAGAAAGATAGGGCGATTCTGGACATACCAAACGGTCCAAAACAGCAGCGTATTAATATGATCCTTCCACCCCCGAAGCACAACCGTCAGATCTATGGCTACTACGTATCCATTTGTGACACGGCTCTTTCCCTCCTCGCTGAGGTACATCTCGACCTTCCCGCTCATAAGGCCAGCAGCAACGACCACGTAGACCCTCTATACAGCTTCATAAGATACTTCAGAATTTCTTCGATGGGTACGGGTTCGGCAATTCTATCTCCCGGGCGGACAGTTCCAACAGAATTCATGGACGAAGGATCTTTTAATGTGTTGTACATCTTCAACGACCGACCTGACAATTATTGTCCGCGCCCCACTCAGAAGCGGGTTGACGACTCACCAAGTTCCTGGGCAGGAAGCCGCAGTGGTGGGTAGACCGTTTGCCAGGAAGCTCCTTCGATTGACGAGTGATTGATCCGTGGAGGACCAATCGCAGAGGTTGGACTGGGCGACTAGTAGCGACAGGGGGCAAACTCGATGTAGCGTGGAGCACACCTCAGGCATTACTTCTCGGTAGTATTAAAGGTCAGTAAGACGGTATTATTATGTTGGATGAAACCCTATCTTGTAGACCTAGCCTCAGCGATGTTCTATTTATAGTACCACCAAATATACCTTGCTTCCTCTGCAGCACCTCCTGGGACCCTCGCTGATTCATTGCGGCTCTTCCAGGATACATATTACATTCTCTACGATGGTCACAATCCTCATCGATATGTCCTTGAGCATCTCAATATCCTCCATGGTGCACCTGCTAGGCGATGCTCTCAGTGCCTGGCAGTACTTCGTTCACATAAGTGTTTTTTTTAAGTTCTGCCTAGTACTCAGTCCTACCACATGCCTCCCGCCCGCAATACGCGTAGTGCTCAGCCAACGTCTTCAGGGCTCGGTCTCCAATTTATGAGCCCCAAGAAATCTCGAGACCCTAAGAAAACTCAGACTTTTGTTTGCATTCCCGGTGTTGATGTCAAGCATAAGCATCTCCTTGATCAAATGACTGCACTCATGAGTCCGCCAGTACTAGCTACTGAAACCCCCATTCCTAGCTCTACTCCTCCTCAATCCGAAGTTCCGATGAACATTGACGACACTAGTTACATTGACGACACCACGGATTATGTCCATGACGCTGACTTGGACGACCATGTGATATTTGTAGACCAGTCTGACCCAGGAGCACCTTGCCCTACAGACATGGTGTGTGAGGACTCTGGGCGCCGTCTCCTACCAAACTGTTAAGACCGTACTCAAGTAGTATCGGATCCGAAGGGCTTCGGCCTCAGCTTGTGCGCTGTGCCCCTTTCCCGAGTCTTGCCCCTTATTTCAGAGAGCTAAAGTATCGCATGTATAGAGTAACGGCCAATCCGGATCGGATCCGGACTAGAAACTAACGGGTGAGGACTGTCCGAAGACAGAGGCGGATATGTAGACTATAGGAATCTATCCTAAGTCTCGGAGTAGACAAGAGTAGCGTACTCAAGTCCGGATGGATAACGGAGGGACTCAGAGTCCAGACAGAATGAGTGCAATCTAAGATGATATTCGAACTGATCTACTACAGCGCATATACAAAGGTTTATATACTACGGATAGCTAACGGAATGATCAATAAGCAAAGGTGCGAGGCTATGTACGAAAGTATAAGCAAAGTCTAAGTGGAGCGTATTGGTAAGTTGGATGGATCACGAATCATGAACCGGGAATGAAGTACAAGTAAAAGCGGATTCGTAAGTGTAGCGGATCAGTAAGCATAGCGGATCAGTAAGCAAAGCGGAAGTAAAGGATAACCGGTATACCGGTGTACAGGAATACCGAAAGGAGATGAACAATAGTTAGAGTTATATGAACAGGAAATGAAATAAGAATCAAAGCGGATCTGTGGACCGGACGATGGATATGTTTATCGGATCTGGATCGGATCTGAGATCCAGATCATCGGATCTGTAACCGGATATATGGTATATGACACAAACAAGGCGTCCAAAAACCTCCATAGTGCTTGGAAGGTGCTTATACCTACCTTGGCGGATGCCCATTTAAAGTACTCCACACGAACACATGGACAACCCCTTCCAGAATTATGTGCGGTGATATCTGCCTGTGCAAGAAGCAGTTGTGTAGTACAGCGAAGGTCCTCGATAATTTGCCTCTTTTTTGATCGTAAGTCATCCATTTGTTCCAGCAGCTCTAACTCATAATTGCAGGTTTCCTCGCTGTTGACGTGTTAACCTGCAAATGCTCAACACTTGCGCAAGTCCTCGTACATCATGGCCTTTTTCCCACTGCACCTTCTCAACCACGCATGGCTATTTCCATCGACCTACTTGCATTCTATCGGGCGTTGTTTGAGCATTCATGTGATGCTATCCATGCGCTCGCATCTGCTCTGAAGACTCATTATTCCTGCAGAGGCTTTCAAATGACTCATAGGGATGTAAGTTAATTCTACTAGTCTCTTAGGTGGTTACTCATTGTACAATAGGGCCAAGTTGTCCAAGAACCATTTCGACACGCCCTTGGTCAGGCCGTCCAATGGTTCGACATATTGCAGGTCGAAGTCGACCGTCAAACTGAAGCAGCAATACAGATAGCTCGAGAACGAGTGTACAAAGCTCGAAGACCTCAAATTCTAGATGACCATGGCATATCCACCCCCTCATTGTCCAATACCAGACTGCTCCAAGGCAGATGCGCTTCCATTCTCCTACAACGTTGCCCTGCATGTTTCGGAGGCATACGGTTTGGCAGGCCACTCAATGAAGGTGGTGACATACATGTTGCCATGGACAGCAACTTTCATCATCGACATCGCCGATCCGCGGGCGACTGCCCCCGCTTCTATGATCCTTCCTATTTCCTTCCCAAGACTCAGGTAGATGATGTTGGCCGCCGCATACTCTCACACCATAAACATCCTCCGAAGAAGCACACATTTTCAGTGCCAGATGAAGCGATAGATCAATGCGAACACTCATATGAAGCTGTGGACAGCAAGAAACAGAAGGCAGCCATGGATTCCTTCGATGATACAGGAGTCATGGCACTAATCTGCCGACATGATATTCCGCTGTTCTTTGCCAACATTGACTCACCCGGCGAGCAGCAAAAGTATTCTGTAGCGCTTCTGGAACATTTATTCTCCTTGCTTCCACTAGAAGCCAATGTTGTTACCCTCTACGATGTCGGTTGTGTCCTCTCACGTTCACTATCGCAAGTAGGTGCCTTTTTAATACAATACTTCTCCAGACTCATTTAATACTCTTAAGTATGATATTCTCCCTTCTTCGGTGACATCGCGTCTTCGGTTCACACAACCACAGCTATGCATGCATACGGCCACGAGTGGGCCTGTCAACTCGAGTATAACCCTCGGATGTGTATCGGTCTTGGACTATCAGATGGCGAGGGTACTGAGAGGTTGTGGTCCAGATTCGTCAAATTGATTGGAATTCAACGATCATCCTCAGTAAGTACTCACTCTCCTCTGGAGATCCCTCATAACACATACACACAGCGCCAGAGGCACCTTTGGTTGATAGACAGGCAAGCAGCAGCCATTGGTATGGAGATGCGAGTTGAACTTGGTGACTGGATCAAACGTCGCCTGAAACGCGGAGTCAACAATCAAGGATCTGCGGCGAAGGAAGTCCTAAGAAATTGTGGGATCACCACCGAGGATCTGCAGACTCAATGGGCTGATCAAAAGAAGTCGCAGCTTTCCATTCGCGCCCGTACATCAGTTTGAGCTTCAATTCTGACATGAAATTTACATCAAGC